TTACTCTGGAGTAATGTGCAATAAAAGTTCTAATTTATTAATTTCATCCTTTTGCTCTTAGAAGACACTTCATTGTGTTTTACACTGAAGTGATGTGTATAAAGTGTCAAGATAACAAAGTGCCTGTAATCCATGGCATAAAGGGAAGCATTAAATATAACCATTTAATTAAGATTTGATGAAAGAATATTTAACTGGAGAAACTTGTCACACGGTTAGTTGTAATTTGATGTACTGTTGATATTCATTCATGTTTATACTATATTCCATATTAAGGTATTGAATTCATAAATATGTATTTGTAAGTCCTTAACCTCAAAATAATGTTCACATTATTTGTGATGCATTTATCTTACAGCAAAGCCCTAGGAATTCTGTAACATACAGGGCCAAAATTAAGGGCTAATATATCCAACTATTTTCCATTGTCCACGTAGTTGAGGTGGACAATTGTATTGCTACAAAAAAAAATTTTAGTGGAACCGTTTATACTGTACCTATGTCCTTTAGGTACCTTTGTTCCTTTTTAAATATCATCTGAAGCTTTTACCAATGTATTCCTGTTAAATCTGTTGCTGTTAGTTTTGAAAGATAAAACATCCTGTTTCTAAGTGTGTATGGTTGTTCAAATGAGGTACAACCATATTTCCTGTTCAAAAGTAGATTCTTAAAGCCACATCTGCAAACTAGCTTTCCCTAGCTCATCAATGTAGTATAATGTAGACAAATGAATTAATAAGTATTAGTATATACCACATCAGAACCCACATCAGATTCAAAATTGTTCCAGTTGTTATATATTTGCAAAATTATGACTGGTGCTGTTTATGGCAAACACTCAAGTTCCTGGACCTGCAATACATCATGCAATGTTTCTTCTGTTTCTGAAACTGTTTTTGACTACAGGGATTTCGTTATGGAATTTAAAGCATTTAATTTTTTAAGAACATCTAACTTATCAATCAAGATTCAAATTGTTCCAGCAGCATCTTAGGGAATATGTAAAACATTGGTTATTTTTTAAACATCTCCTGCATAATTAACATTCAGCTAATTTATGCCATTTTTAAAAGGAGTTTAGATGATTGAACAGTCAGGTTTACTGCAATGAGGGCACGTTCAGTAACACATTTGGTGTTCTTTTAGAATGATCTAAATCAGTACTACCTTGTGTTTAATTGTTCAGGAGTTAGCCACATTTAGTTAGTTACCCACATTTTTAGGGCAAAGTGCTAACTTGATTCAGGAAGAATAATTATTTCTATTTGGGTTCATTACAATTTATTTGAGTTCTTCAAATTTTAGAAGTTTTTCCCAACTATTGTAAGATTAATTGTCCTATGGGCAAAGGTATATTAAACTGGCCTTTTCTGCAGGCCTCTGTTATTTCTTGTTTAGTTTGACCCTTTCTGATGTGAGGAAACATGTTAAAACTAATGATTTTCTTTTCACGTTCTGAGGAACGTATAGGTACATGTGTTTCTATGAATTAATCATTTTCTACTGATTTCCATTTCCAACAAATAAACTGAAGGAGGTGGTGTGGAGAGAAATATCTTTGCATTGCTAATAGTATAAAATAGGTTTGTTGTTTTCTTTTAACTCTACAGAATTAGCTTTTTGCACAACAAAATGTGGTTGGGTTACTCCCTTGGAGAATGGAATAGATGATTATACAATAATAAACAGCATCAACTTTGTTTGCAGTTTACAAAGGTTGATTTCTTCCCACATCACAGGCCTGGTTACACTACCATGTATGCTGACTGTGAAGAAAGCTTATGTTTCTACAGGTCATTTTCATTGTACTCTAATTCGGTACAGTGTATTCCTTCGAATGCACTATATCTTTAAACCTTTTGTGCGCAAACGTGAACATGCAGTATCTTAAAGAGAACAACTTTTGTGCAGCCTCACTACATACTTGTTTACACACGCACCTCATAATATGATGGCCAGTGTTCCATGATGCCACTAATGTGGAAGTCCACTGAAACTGCTGTGTGTTAATTTCAAATAGTGACAGAAGTAGATCTAGCAGGAAAGGAATATTGTACTGTAATGGTACAATATAATTGGAGTTACTTTGCTGTGAGATCCTTAGTTAGTGTCACAGCTTCCCAGAAGCTTGAGTCTTGTGCAGCTGGCTGGAAGGCAAATGTTACACTGCAGTGACTTGTTAAAACTGGCTGCCAGGAAGACTTACATTTAGGTGCTTTTTAACAATTCCCTGCAGTTTTGTATCAAGCTTTAAGTCCACTGTACAAGGTCCCTGCTTTTAGGAATTAGTATGGGTCTTGGACAATGTAAAAGCAACTTAGACTTGTCTAAAAAATATTAAAGTGCGCCAGGTTTGTGTTTCGTCATCTCATCCCATCAAAGATTCAGGGTCAAAATTATGAAGCTACGTCTATGGTTACAAATCTTCATCTTCACTAGCAGGCCACTCAGCTCTCTCTATGGAGATGATTTTATTTGTCCACTTCCTCCAGATACTGCATTGGGATATTCTTGCTAGCTGTTCGGCTCGGGGTGACATCTGTTTCCAAGGGATATCTGAGCTATCTTGTACTTACAACCAAATGAAAAATGTAGATGGATGATGTTGAGTAAAATGCCAATGTTGTTGCTATTTATTCTAGATTTATTTTCTAATTCTTCTGAGAATCAATTCTTCAATTCCTTTGTTTACCTTCTGTTTAAAAAGGCAGGGCTAAGGATTGGATTTGTTTTAAGCATAGGTTTGATTACCAGATTAGATAAATTAGAAGGTAAATGGGTTGGCACGGTTGGGTGTTTGTTGTAATGTTGTATTATTCTGTTGTGATTGGTCAGGAAGTCAGTCAGTAAGGCTTCCCTCATCAGTGTTTTATTTTTTTCAAGTTGTGCCGGCTGTGGTGCAAGTTTCTAAAGATTTAATTATGGCTGCTGGGGGTTGGAAGAGTTCCAATATGAGATTAACGCTCCCGTTCCCCTGCTCAGTAGGATACTTCCTCACTCTCTGCCCGAACTGTGAGGTTGTTTCACCAGATGTCGCAGAAAATCTCATCAGTAACGTGCCTCTTCCCCTCCCCAGAACCCCCCGTTTGCTTTTACATTTCTTTATTAAATTGATTTTCAGGCCTGTGCAATTTCACACAGTTTACTTTCTAAATTTTAATATCCAGTATTTGTTTTTCTTTAATCAAGCCTAACAAACACTTGCATTTCTTACAGATTTGATAATATAAGTCATTGTTTTAAAAAATATCTAATAAGCTCAACAGCTCAATAATGGAGGTTTTTTAATTTAAAGCTATCTGTGGAAAGTGATAAATCTATTCATTAGACATAATATTGTGTCCAAATTGATACGTTAATAATCCGGTGAGAGTTGTTTATATAACAGCAATGTTTTTGATCTTTGCTTGAGTTTCAACTGATGTCTTAAACTGTAAAGATTCTTTAGTTAACTGTGATTTAGATGCTGTATCTTGTTTTCTCCTCTGTCGCATTCGCTTGTTAAATGGATGCACTGAATTTAGGACAGTTCCCAGATTAGAGCACTTATTCATTCTGTTCTCAGCATCAATCAATAAAATCTCACTGTCCTAAATTTTAATTAACATTAACATTTCACATTTTACAAAGTTAATGATTTAGTTCTTCAGTATTCTTTTTAAATGATCTGGAGTCTTAATCTGCCTGGTAATCATTTTTGAAAATTGTTCAGTGAGATTAGTTTGATATAGTCTTGGATGCATGTTAAAAACCTTCCCTTTTGTCTGAGATTAGTAGCAAGTATCCTGCACTGTGTGACCTATTAAACCAATTGGATATGTATTGCCTAAGGAACATGACTTGTCCATTTTGATTGTTCTACTTGATATATTAAGCACCCCCTTTTCATATCCCATCAAATGCAGTTTAATTGTAGTTCTGTATCAGAAACGTTGTTCCGTTACACTACTGATGTTACAAGCCCATTGTTGATTGCTGGCAAACTTGAGTTATTCATCCTGTTTTCCACCATGAACCTTTTGAAACAGCAAGGAAAGCACTGAGGATAAATGCAAAATAACTTATACATGCATGGGATTATTGGTTTCTGATTTTATGTATAAAGTAACTGCTATTATCAATGTATAAGTTTATTAAATTCTGGACCATGTTATCTGTCTTTTAAGTGGAAAGATGCATATTCTTCCTTCCTTCCAAAAGACTGTGGATGTAAGGCACAAGTTGAGCTCAAGCAAAAGTGACTGTAAAGCCCAAAAGCTACAAACTGGCTCAAATGCTAGTTTGTTAATTTTCATACTGATTGTATTATTTTTAAAGAGATAGTAGGAACTGCCGATGCTGGAGAAATATTATTTTTAAAGCCTAGTTGAGTCCACTAAAGTACAGTGATACGGTGTGACTAGTAACACAACATTCTGTGCCTTCAAACCCCATGTTATGTTAGCAGTACTGCTGTATTACAAAATATAATGCTTATCAATGAATTAAGGAAACCTAATGTATATTTGTCAGACATTGACACATATAAAAGAAAAATTAATGCTTTAATTGTACTCATTTATGCCAAGACAATAATGCAGTTTCACAGTATTCAAGAATTGAGCTTTCTTTTAATTTGGGATTGGAACCAAAAACTATAGAGATGTTAAATGCCCACAGGTAAGAAATGTCATTGGCATTAAAGCCAGCTAAGCATGTTGTATAACAGTAATTGATCTGCCCGATTAACGGTGTAGTTAGTTGCTGTACAAAAGTGTTTTTTTTTTGGTGTTGGCCACCTTTGATTTTATCTGTCAGACAACAAATCATAGTAATTCTCCATTTTATTTTAAATTTGTTTTTAGGAAATTGCTGTCAAGTTCCAATTGTTACTCAGAATGCATGAAATACATACAGAATTTATTTACAGAATTGAAAAGTGCCATTTATCAGAAGAACTGTCAGTTTGTTTTCAGTGGTAATTACCCCCATTATGACTCTAGCCTATTTTATTTTTTTAGACGCCCTACCATGTGAATATGCTTCTAGCTGGCTGTGACGAGCATGAGGGTCCAGCACTCTACTACATGGACTATCTGGCAGCTTTGGCTAAAGCCCCATTTGCTGCTCATGGATATGGAGCATTTCTGACACTCAGTATCTTGGACCGATACTATAAACCAGGTGGGTGTAATTTATGATGAAAAGAGCTTTGGCATTGTGCTGCAGATTTTTATGTACATGCCCTATTTTCCAGCTATTTCACACCGCAGGACTGAAAATGTTTTTCTGACCAGGTGAAAGCCAAGAGTTACACTCGTAATAATGTGCAGTTGTCCTGTTTTTGCCAGCAGCTTTTCAGTCACTTATGTTCCTCTAATTCTGTGTTGGACATTTCATCAATCAATCTACGTGTGCTTTGATTTATTAATTTGTTTCAAGGCTTTTTCTTAAGCTTAATTTTCAACATGCGAGTTGCTCATAGACACAGAGTTAACTTTAAGCAAGTCCAAAGATACTGAAGTAACATTTTTTCCTATGGGGCAGCCAATTTACATTTTGTGATGCCAACTGTAAAGAGCTTGTAGAAATGAATTTTCTGCATACCAAATGATTTTTAAAAAAAATTGTTTTCTAAATTTAGGATTAAAATGATAATTTGGTTAATGTTTTTGTGAATTATTTTGCAGTCAGCAACTTGAATTTAATGTTTACCAAAATGCAGTTCACGGACTCTGACATTGTATTGACATCTCTGCTATTAAAAAATGTAGAAGGTTGCTCTTTAGGGAGGCAAAAAGAAAAAGAAAACATTTTAAATGTACCGTGGTCATTGTTTTATTCTTCTGCAATACCCTGTTCAATGCAATTGTCAATCTGATGAAAATTAGATTTTAATCTTGTTTTGGAATGTGTAACCACTTTAAGATGTTCACGAGCTAGAATCCTACTGAAGCAACTTTAAAATAAAGTATCTTCTAAAATTGAGGATGTACATACCATGTGATCAACACAATTGTATTGAATGTTAAAATGTACAGAAATTATTGTATCCAACAAAAGTGGAATTATAAATCCACAAAAATTGTACTACTACGAGACTTTTAAGTAGCCAAGGCCATGTATTTGCACTCCATTTAAAACAATTACTAGTGCTTCAAGGGTTAAACACAGCCTGTTTTATAGTGTGCAGTTAATATACTTGCTGTCACTGTGTTAAGTGGCATTGACTGTACTGCAAATAATGGCAGAGGAAGCACAGGTCTGTACTCTTAGAAGTAAAAAGCACGTGTCACTTGCATTGATGAATCTAATGCTCAGCAGGAGGCCGGTGAAAGAAGTGCGCTAACTGCAGCCGGCATCTGCAGATGGAGCTCATTTTCACACTGTTTGCAATAAATTGAATCTAAGAGGTGCCTGTCCTTTTCCCAAGTTTGGATCAGGAAAGGGAGGCGGATTCTGATGCGCTTCGATTTCTGAAAACTAATTGATTCGTTCCAGCTTGCGGTTTGAGTGGGACTGACTCTGTTTAAAAACCCTGCTTTACATATGGACTATATTCAGCTGTGAGTCAGATAACTCCTGTTTTAAAGTCTGGACTTTATTTAATTTTGTGGGGTGGGGAGGGGGGATGGTTGCTTTTATTTGAGAAGTCTTCAAAAATTGAAACAATGTGTGTTTCCAGATCTCTCACGCGAAGAGGCATTGGAGCTGTTGAAGAAATGTTTGCAAGAGGTGAGGTCCAAATCTGAATACAGATTGTATTGAAAATTTGTTTGATACAAAGAACAGTATTCAGCTGTGAGAATACTGAAAGTTGCTGCATATGTTTATATTTTCAGACATGACATCAGCAGATGAAAATAAAAGTCTATTCCCCAGATTTCCCTTGTGTTGCTGCATTCCAACCAGGGAGCAGTATTTATGTTCTAAACAGAGCAAAACGTTTTCTTTTGAAGAGTATTGTTTCACAATTATTGGATTTACAAACTATCTGCTGTGAGTTCATCCTGCGTTTTTATACAAGTGTTCTCTGACATCACTTGTGAGTGCATGAGAGTTTCCACCTGACTCAAAATGCTGAACTACTTATATAGGGCAAGTAAGGGACAGTTCCAGCTTCAAAGCAATCATATTTGCAGTATCCTAAATCTTTTTCATAACAGCTGATGTCAAGAGTCCTGTTATTCCATTGTACAAATTTTGTTACTGCTGAAAACCGATTTCATACACGCAGTAGAAAAATATTTTCCCATTGAACGTACATAGGATTAAATGCTTCAGTTGTCTGTTGTTGCTTAGTGAAATGTTAGTTTTGTAAGATCCATTTATTTGTTCTTCTTTTCCAGATCCAAAAGCGATTTATTCTGAATCTTCCCTCGTTTACTGTTCGAATCATTGATAATGACGGTGTTCATGATATGGAACAAATTTCTGTGTCAAAAATATAATTTTACATTCAGCAATAATTTTTGTTTTTACTTTCAGAGATTTATGTATATGAGCTCAGAATAAAGCCTGAGGTTCACACTAAGTTCCGGAATTTATTTGAAAAGGCAGTGTTTCAATTCTTTCTCAGTTCAAATTTATATTGACACAATGTTAATTGGTGATATGAATTTTGAAAATAGAAAATCCTTGAACAATTTACAGAAAATATAAAATGCGAACATTATTGAAATATTATGCGTTGAATTATGTCAGAACTAATAGTGCATCAGTTTATTGTATCTTTTTAATTTGTGCTAAATTATTCGAATTAATAGGGATGGAAGGATGCCTTATTCAACTCATTATGAGCAAATCAATATTTCTTGTATAAAGAAACATTTTGCAGCAACACGAAAAAGGTGAAATGTGTAACTGATTCATGCAATCATTACCTGACACAGGATTCTTGAGATTGTGACACTTAAGAGACTTCACGTGGAGAGAAACAAAGAAATGTTTCATGCTGGATATGGACTTGTATCCTGCTGAACATAGATTTCATCGCAAATATGTTTATAAAATGACTTGCATTTGCAAATCACAGGGTCTGACTGGAAGGGTGCTATCATGCCCGATCTTACTGGTATTGTCCTGGATTGAACCTACTTTTCCTTCAAAGCTCTGAACAGTTGTTTTCTGTTATGGGGAGAAATGCTACTTTATTTTATTCAGCTAATTAATACAAAAGTGCAGCATTCATAAATGTAAAATATACTTCATTATTATTTTCTGAATGAAGTGCTTCATACCAGACAACCCTCATGGTAACAATGGGCCAAATGGCCTCTTCCTGTGCTATAACCATTCTGTAAATTATCATCTTGTCATATATTAATCAGAATCAAGAGATTGTTTTAATCTTTTTAATAGCATCACATCCATTGATAACACTAGATTTAAAACCTTTTTAAACTGCGGCATTATTAGAAAATTTTTGCAACCTCAATTGGACAATATTGCAAATCAGTACTGATTTTTTAAATGAGGCCTGGAGATCAAGCTGCTATATAAAACCTATAAGTAGTACGCTGCAATCATTCCTCGAATGAGCTGTCAAAAATTAAAGTTAAACTTTAATATTACTGTATTATTGCACTGAGAGTTGTCACTTAATGTAACACTACATCCAGTGCTGGAGTAATTCTAACATCCGTTGAGTGGAGAAGAATACATTTTACATGAAGCTCAGGGATTTAGGGCTCTATAATATGGGTGAGCTATCATTTTGAAAGTGGAAAATATGGAATTTTTGAGCACCCACTAATTTTCATCACTTGTGCCTTCCATTTTTTGTAAATAGTTCAAGTTCACTGATGTGACTGCAATATAACTGCAGGTTCATTTACGGTTGAAGTTAGTTTTAATATTTTTACTATTTTTTCAAAACTGAACAAATTACTGTAATTTTGACTGTCCGCTTCAATAGGACACAGTCATTTTTGTTGCTTTCTCCTGCATTTCCTAATTTTTCATTAGCTCCCCGATCCTCAAAATCCTCCCATTTCTGAGAGCGTGGATTTTGCCATAAGTTGTACCAAAGCTGCTTTACTTTAGTTAGTACGAGCTAGGGTATTCACCAAATTGTTCTATACCTTCTGTTTTGCTCCATTATTTCACCTTTTTCATCAGTTGAAAGTTATTGCATTTTTTACTCTGATAAATTGAGTCCTTAGAAGCCAGCCTTGTAGCTTGAATCTGTCATTAAAGGAAAGGTCACTGCCGTTGTGTGGATCTACTGTATCTAATTAACATGGCTAATTAGAGTGGACATGTGCAAAGGTTTGAGTGATTTTAAAATTGTGAAACAAAACTATATTTTTCTCAGTTAAATTCCGATTAGACAATTTGGCAGAATGACATCTCAGCACAATTGCTGATATTGAGAGATGTAACAAAATTCTTTTCTCTGGCTGTTCACCTGTTCCTTTGTTTTTTTTGTGTGCGTGCCTCTGTCTCAATGAGATGATCTTTATTCAGTGGCGCTCATGTGCACAGAGGTGATTAATAGACATTTGATAATTATTGCTCCAAAATAAACTCGTATTAATCAGTTTGAAAGTAACATATGTTTCGCCTGAGGCTGGAGACCCTCCGGCTTCCCCGCTGAGAGAGGCTCCAAGGCAGCAAGGGTATTACTCCACTCTTTGCAGACACACAACCAGCGGCACCTTTCATTGAGAATTTCATGGCATTCAAAATCTGAAATGGAGAAAATATGTTGATTTAAGGCGTTGTATAAACCTTTTCTTAAAAAATAAACATTTGGAATTTGGCTGAAATGAAAGGATTTGATGGGGTAGATAAAGCAACTATTTCCTCAGCTTGAGGCAGATTATTAAAATTAACCAGGTCAATCAGGAGTTAAATGAGAAAGCACTTCTTCTCACAAATGTTTGTGAAAAACTGAAACTCTTCAATAGAAGACTGGATTCTGGGTCAACTAAACTTTCAAACCTGTTTGAAAAATGTTTGTTAGATTATGGTAATCAATAGAAAGTCTGTGGGTTTGAAATACAGTTCAGTCATCTAATTGAATGCTAGAATGTGCTTGATGGGCTGAATGGTCTCCTATTCCTACATCTGTATTAAACTTTTCAAACCAAAGATCGCTATTATACATCAATGTCTAATCATAGAAATGTCATTGATACTCTCTTGTAATGTTTACATGGTAACCAAAGACTTTGCTCAGTTTTTCAAATCTCCATAAAGATCTTCAGGCTTAGCAAATCTAAGAATTTATTAATGGGTTAGTTTGTGCTGCATGAAACAGTATAAACAGAAGTTCTGCAAAGTATAAGATCAGTTCAGAAATGCAAAATACAAGCAGTACTAGAGTTAAAGTGCAGGTTGTGCCTTTGTGTTGTTTGTACCGTACCAAAGCGGCACTTTATATATGCCTGTTTACACCTGCATTGATCTCAGTTCCTCCAATAGATTTTTTTTGGATAAAGCAGTCTTTAAAATACCAAAGTTTATACTATATTTATAACTGACATGAGATTTAAAGCACTGTTGGGAATTTAAAAATGGCTTTGTACCTGAAGTGGAATGAAAATCCTGTTACGAATCACAAGTGCTGCAAGATGAGCTACCAGAAGGAATTGTGTGTTACTTGTATTTAGTGCATTCCAGGGCAGAACTTGACAAAATTGTTATGCTGCTGGATTTGGGACTGGTGCATACTCATTTTTGCATTGTTACTAAAATGGCAATAGTAAATTGTAGCCTGAAAGAATATAAAATGGTCCCCATCTTATTTACACAAGATGCATACTAATAGTAGTAGCTTAATTTTGTATTGAGCACTAATTATTGCATGTCCAACTTTCTTGAGAACCTACACCTCTTTGGATTCTGCCAAGAGAATAATCACAGTGCATCCAACTTTCTCCTAAGACAGAGTCAACAACTCCAACATCCCTCAGAGTTCTGTTTTGCTGAGACTGCCCTTATGTAGTATCAACATTTATCTGTCCAGTTATAGTCCAGAGTAATCACAACAGTGGTCTCATTGCCTTCCCTTTCCCGTTGCCTCAAGTTCTCCAACATTTGTGGTTAACTAGAAATGTTAAAGATAGTATCAGATTTAATGGAAAAGCGCACAAATTTGCAAAAAGGTAGCATATGTGATGATTAGGCAGAATATGTAAAAGCAAAGAATGACCAAAAGATTAATAAAGAGAAAAAAGTAGAGTCTGAGGGAAAGCTAACAAGGAATATAAAAATAGATAGTAAGAGTTTCTCTAAATATTTAAAGAGTTAACAAAGTGAGTATTGGTCCTATGGAAAACCAAGCTGGAAAATGGCTAAAGTGAGCATTTCTTTTGCATCAGTCTTTGTTATATGGGATGCATGTAACATACCAGAAGCAACAGTAAATCAGGAATTGGGAGGTAGGGTCTCAGGAAAATCATAATCACTGGAGAAGTAGCACTGAGTAATTCATTGGAGCTCTAGGCTATCAACTGTTTGGGTCCTGATGGATTTCATTTTGAAGCCTTAGAAAAAAGGTGGCTATTAAGATTCTTGGTGGATTGGTTTTACTTTTCCAAAACTCCGTTAATTTTTACACAATTCCATTAGATTGGAAGATAACGAATGTAACTTCTTTATACAAAAAGAGAGGAGACAAATTAAGAAACTACACACCAGTTAGCCTAACCCCTCTCAAAAGGAAAAGGTTTAGAAGCTATTATTAAATAAGTTATAGTAGATACTTGCATTGTTCAAGGTTATCAGGTAGTGTCAATGGTTTTGCGAAAGGGACATTGTCTTTGAACAATGTAGTGAAATTCTTTGAGGAGGCAACATGCTGTGGATAAAGAAGTGGGGAATGTACTGAGACATCCAGAAGGCATTTCATAGAGTACCACATAAAGAGTTATTATGGAATGTAAAAGTTCATGGTGTGGGAGTAGCATATAGGTGTAGATAGAAGATTGGCTGGCTAACAGGAAACAGTAGGTGTAAATAAGAGACAACAAGGTGCAGGGCTGGATGAACACAGCAGGCCAAGCAGCATCATAGGAGCAGAGAGGCTGACGTTTTGGGCCTAGACCCTTCATCAGAAAAGGGGGAGGGGAAGGGGGTTTTGAAATAAATAGGGAGAGAGTGGGAGGCGGATAGAAGAGGGATAGAGGAGAGGATAGGTGGAGAGGAAACAAACAGGTCAAAGAGGCAGGGATGGAGCCAGTAAAGGTGAGTGTAGGT